GTCACTGCAACTTCCCGATCAGGCGAACACACACACACACAAATTAAATGTCTGCCTGATGAAAAAAAAAATGTATTTAAAAAAATGTAGTTAATATTTGCATCATATATGACTTATTTTATCCACCCGTGACCCACCCGGAAATAATCAGAATGCATTTTTTTTTATTACCCGACCCGCGGATTATCCGCAGTGCCCGTGAATATAACCGTGACTGAACTGTTTTGTTCTTTCAGTAGTTTAAATGTTTCCATTTCTTTTTTACTCTTCAGTCTTATATTGGACAGTATTAAACCTTATGTGTTACATCAGACTTCTCCATGTTGGAGTTTAAATGTTTCTATTTATTTTGTCCTCTCTCTAACATTGGATAATGTTAAATTAAACCTAATGAGTTGCATCAAACTACTCTAATTAGTTCTTTTAGGAGTTTAAATGTTTTTTTTTTAATTTAATGTTTATTTTGTCCTCCACAGTTTACTATTGGATAATGTTTAAATAAACCTTGTGGGTTGCATCAGACTGCTCCATTTTGTTTGTATTTATTTTTGTCTTATATTAAGTATCCTGATATACATAATGTTATGCATAAACCCCATTTTAAAGGCATATTAAAATGTTCACTGTATAAGGAATAATTTTTGTGATTATTTATATAACATTATTACATATGTTATATAAAGCTTGAAGCAGAGATGTTCACAAGTCTTTAACTTGGAGTCTGAGTCAAGTCTGAAGTCTTTATCGCTGGAGTCTGAGTCAAGTCTCGAGTCTTTGGTCACGAGTCCGAGTCGAGTCTCAAGTCATTTAATGGCTTGCTAAAAAAATCTCATTCAGAATCATCATGTATTGAAATCTTCCTATTTACAAAGCTGTTTTATAGGCTATAGACAAAATATATATTCTATGATCTGCTTTGTAAAAAATAAAAAGTGGTGTTAAGATGTCAGGTTATTGTACATCAAAAAGTGTATATTTTTTTTAATGTGATTGTTGGTACATTTTACCAGTTTTTACCATACTTTCAAAACAAAAATTAAAATAGGAAAAATATGCAATATGAAATTGATTGAAGACAAAATGTGTTTTACTGAGAAAAAACAAGATTTGGTTTTTAAAAAGCCTTTTTCCAAAAGGTACATCTGGAAAAAGGGGGGGTCGTCTTATAATCAGGGTCGTCTTATATTCGGGCCAATACGGAATATATATATATATACAGTAATTCATTTGTAAAATTAAAATAATAAATCATCCATTATCAACATGTCCATGGACTATGTACCTGTAATGAAAGGGAATGTTCTCTGGTTCAGAGGAAAAAAACAAGAGGAGACTGTGTTTTGTGAAGATAAAACTCCAGTTTGGGTTTGATGCAGAAGTTAGAGTTGAGCCTGTTTGTCTTTATTCCAGCTGCTTTCTCTCTCTGCTGAGAGACTGTTATGCAAAGCTTTTGACTGCCGTGAGGAGAAACTGATAGAGGTCAAATACTGTCGCACATGAGGTTTTAAGGATTGTCAGTTTCAGTGGCTTCATCTCTCATTCATAATCCGGTCTAAAAGCAGCCGTCAGATGGGGAAGATTTCTATTCACACTGTAAATCACAGCAGTAAAACAATATGATATGTTTACGATCTCTAGCCTGAAAAATAAAGCAGCATAATCAAGTGCTTTTGTACAGCTCAATTAACTGGAAGTTGCTGGCTGGAAGCCTTCCACAACAAATTTCAAAATGGCTGGGCAGCCCGTGTCCATTTGTCTATTGAAAATAAGGTTAATATTACATTTTTAAATAACAGTTTTCATTTTTATTGCAGCGTCATGTTTTCTGTATATTTGTCTTTTATGTATTCTGTGTGTGTTTAATGCAGGTCGGACTACTTCCGTAACTTTGTGGACTCTTGTCTTCAAAAGATCCCTCAGGACAGGCCTACCTCAGATGTGCTGCTCAATGTGAGACTTGAACACACACACAAACACACACACACTTTCTGACTCTGTATTCATTATTTCATTCACATATTTTCTCTCCCCCTTGGAACTTTTGTTCTTGCTAGGTCTGTCATCATTTACCTAATCGCCTTGTTATTAGTTTGAAAAAAAAAATCACAATTATTATGCACTTTATATTCCAGTACAATATAGAAACAAAATTGGATGAAATGTCTTTTTCAAATACTGAAAATAATGTATGGCAGAACCCATGTGAAACATGCGATTCTTAGCTCAAACGTGTTTTGAATATGGAAAGGGGTTTTTGAATATGGAGTTTTTGGCTGTTTGAACTGTGCAAATTCAGCCACTACTTCCTTGGCCATTGCATGTGATCGGTTTGATCTATCAAAGAGCGTTTATTATATCTCATCAGAATATTTTTAAGACAGTATGACCTAAATTTGGAGACATTTGAAAAAGTACACACACTACTGTATCATTCAGAGGATTGAAGTTAAAGATTTTTACTGTTTTTGAAAGGGCTTTTTATGATTACCAAAACTGCATTCATTTAATCAAAATACAGTAAAACCAGCAATATTGTGGAAAGTTACAATTTAAAGTAACTGTTTTCAATTGTAATGTATTGTAAAATTTGATTTTTCTGCAACCATTACTCCAGTCTTCAGTGTCACATGATCCTTCAGAAATCATTCTAATATGATGAATTGGTGCTCAATAAATGTTTCTTATTATCAATGTTGAATGCATTTTTTTAAAGAATTTTTTTGTAACATAAATGGTAAATGTTGCAATACTGAGTCTGAGCAGCAGCAATTATTTGAAATGGAACTCTTTTGTAACATTACACGTTTCTGTTTTGCAACTTTAACATATGATTGTACAGGTTGCCATTGATTTGTATTATGCAAGAGACAGAATAACAATCACAAGAACAATAGGAGGAGGTAACAAAAGGAGTAATAGTAAAAATAAGAAACATACAAAAGGTACTTTTACACTAGTGGCTGATGACTAATAGCTTACACCAGATACCTAATAAATCACATCTTAAGCTGTATTTGTACTAAGCTTATACTGCAGGTGATAAAATGAACAATTAAATCGTAAATAGCTATTATTAGTATGACAAATATAACTGCTGTAACTGTACCTCATCTATCTTTACATACACACTGAGATTGTGTAATGAAGCTCTGTGGCTCACACCATGTATTCCCTTCACAGCACCATTTCCTATGCCGAGAGCGCCCCCATTCTGTAGTGATGGATCTGATCACGCGCACCAAAGACGCTGTGCGAGAGCTGGACAACCTGCAGTACAGGAAGATGAAGAAGATCCTGTTTCAGGAAACTCACAATGGCCCCACACAGGAAGGAGGAGAGGAGGAAGAGGTCAAGCATTGTCTTTGATCCTTCTGTCCAGTTCAGCCCAGTTTCTGCTCTTTTGTGGCATTCTATACTGCAGAAAACAGGAAAAGCCATGACATCTTTTTTTGTTTGTGTGTGTGTGTGTGTGTGTGTGTATGTGTAGGAAGCAGAGCAGTACCTCTTGCAGACGGGCACGGTGAACAGTATGGAGAGCTCTCAGTCTGTGCCCTCTATGTCCATCAGCGCCAGCTCCCAGAGCTCCTCAGTCAACAGCCTGGCCGATGGCTCCGACGACAGTGCTGAGATGGCCATGATGCAGGAGGGAGAGCAGACAGTCATGTCTAACAGCTCCATCATTCACCGCCCCACTGTACGTAAACGAGGCCGGACAGTGCACAATCTTCTGAAATGCTCTTTTCCTCGACTAATTTCTAATTGTCCATCTGTCTGTCAGGCACGTGATAATATTTACGATGACCCATATCAGCCAGAGATGGAGTCTCCACAGCAGGCATCCTCGGCCGCTCGGAGGAGGGTGCACAGGAACAGAGACCATTTCGCCACCATCCGCACAGCCTCTCTTGTGAGCTCCTGACTGACCTGCAGCTCAGAGTCCTTTTTTTTTTTTTCTTTATATCAGAAGTTAAGATAGACAAGCTTCTCTCTCTCCCCCTTTCTTTCATTCCAGGTGACGCGTCAGATTCAGGAGCATGAACAGGGCTCAGCTCTGAGGGAGCAGATGTCCGGATACAAGCGCATGAGGAGGCAGCACCAGAAACAACTGCTGGCTCTGGAGAACAAACTCAAGTCTGAGATGGATGAACATCAGCTCAGACTGGACAAAGAGCTGGAGACCCAGAGAAACAACTTTAGCAGTGAAGCCGACAAGTTGAGTAAGAAACATCAGGCTATCCTGGAAAAAGAGGTGAGAAATAAAAAAGAAAAAGATACTAGACCTTTCACAATCCCTTGTTCTATTATGTGCAAGAATGGGAATATCATATTCGTACAAAGGCTGCATTTATTTTATCAAAAATACAGTAAAAACAAATATTGTACAAATGTTATTACAATTTAAAATAGCTTTTTTTATTTAATATATTTTAAAACATATCTTCTTCCTTTGATGGAAAAGCTAAGTTTGCTGCCATTATTCCAGTCTTCTGTGTCACTTGATCCCTCAGAAATCATTCTAATATCCTGATTTGGTGTTCGTGACATTTCTTATTATTTTTGTGGACATTGATACATTGTTTTTCATTATTTTTGGTGAATAGAAACAACATTATAAATGTTTTTACTGTCACTTTTCATCAATTTAATGCATCCTAGTTGAATAGAAGTATTCATTTCCCCAAAGTTTTGAACGGTTGTGTGTTTATATATTGTTTATACATATTTATGTTGTTTTTTTTTTTCTTCAGATTAAAGCTGCACAGGCGGAAGAGAAAAAATTTCAACAGCACATATTGAACCAGCAGAAGAAAGAACTCAACAGCCTGCTGGATTCCCAGAAACGCCAGTACAGGCAACGCAAGGAGCAGCTCAAGGAGGTACGCTGTCGAAGAGTCCACTCTCCTTATGGCTTCATGACTATGAATTCAGAGTAACTCTACTTGATGTAGCAATAAATATTAAATTGGTCAAACTGTTAATGTCTTTTGCGTCATATTCATCAATCCCATTACTTATCCTTAACTTGCTTTTGTCACTCTGAAATCCTTTACTATGGCAACAGGAGCTGAGTGAGAACCAGTCCACGCCGAAGCGAGAGAAGCAGGAATGGTTGGTGAGGCAGAAAGAGTGTCTGCAGCAGATCCAGGCTGAGGAAGAGGCTTCGTTATTACGGCGACAGAGGCAGTATTATGAGCTGCAGTGCCGACAATATAAGAGAAAGATGCTGCTCGCGAGACACAATCTAGAGCAGGACCTGCTCAGAGAGGTTAGACAAACACATTTATGAGTGCTTTTCCCTTTCTTTTTTGCTTTCTACCTCACTTTTTGTCTGTGATCTCTTGCTATATCTTTATTTGTCCCTGTAGGACTTGAATAAACGTCAGACTCAGAAGGATCTCGAGTGTGCCATGTTGTTGAGACATCACGAGTCCACTCAAGAGTTGGAGTTCAGGCAGCTGGGGCTGGTCCAGCACACTCGGGCCGACCTGATCCGAACGCAGCACCAGAGCGAACTGGCCAACCAGATGGAGTATAATAAGCGGCGTGAGCAGGAACTCCGTCAGAAACACGCTGTGGAGGTCCGCCAGCAACCCAAGAGCTTAAAGGTGAATGGGATGTTTAGTGTTTGTGATGCACAACAGGGTTAGACTAAATTCTGGACTACAAGTGAATGCAATGAACTGCAGAATGAACAGATTATTTCCTAGTTATTATTATTTTTAAGGTTATTAATTATCATCTAGGCGCTAAAGAGCATTTTGGGAATTTAATTTCTTACATGGTCTAAAATCATTAAATCATTATTTTTGTCCAATTTTAATTCTACTTCATTCAAATGCATTCCAATGCATCTGGTTTGATATACCAATTCAGACTGAATTGGAATTTAAAAGGCATTCTGAATTCAGATTTTAGTGCCACACAACTCTAATGTTCACTGACTGATGTTTGTTTTTGAAAAGAGACATGTTTGGCAGTTTCAAGGGTGAGATACCACAGAGAACTTCTGTTAAACTGAACCATCTAAATGACACCTAATCAAACATTCTAGTGATGTAAATACACACCAGAGGAATAGAAGACATTTGTTTGCTTAAATGTCAAGTGCTCAAGTATGTTTCTTGCACTTTGTTCTTTCAGACGAAAGAGCTCCAGATCAAACGTCAGTTCCAAGACACCTGTAAGATTCAGACACGACAATACAAAGCCTTGCGCAACCACCTGCTGGAGACCACGCCCAGATCAGAGCATAAAACCGTACTGAAGAGACTCAAAGAGGAGCAAACACGTAAACTGGCCATCTTGGCCGAGCAGTACGACCATTCCATCAAAGACATGCTGTCCACACAGGCTGTGAGTAAGGCAAGGAGAGACCTTCTTTAATGCTTTGTTTCACTTTCAGTGGTGCACAATCACAGTAACCAGAATGAATAATGCATGTATGCAAACACATATTTGAGTTAATCTCACATAAACCAGTCAAGAAAATTTTTTCCCATTCCCATTATTCTCAATGGCTTATTGTAACTCTATTTTTAATAGTATTACAAATACTAAAGCCCTGTTTACACCAAGCACGATAACGATAAAGATATAGCTCTAAAAATTGTTCTCAATATTAAAGAATAGCAGAGTCCACACCACAACTATAACGATAAAGGCACAGAGAAACGATATCGTTGGAATCACTTTCAGAACGATTTTTTCCAGCTGATGAACGATACAAACCGCTGGTGTGGACGCTAATATCGTTATCTTTATAGTTATTGTCCTTGGTGTGAACGGGCCTTTAGTCTGCATAATATAAAGGCAGTAAGTTAGTGCTTTTAGTAATGTATCTTTTTCATATCATTTATTTTTTTACATCACAATAATGTGAAAAACAAAACCAAAAAAAACTAATGGACCTAAAATATGCTTCATTTTCTTTTAACAAAATAAAATTATTTGTTTATTTAGATTTTGAAGTAGAATATGACGGGAAATTTTCTTGACATGTTTCATGAGGTTTTCCCACTTAATCCACATTTCCTGTACCACACTGGACCTAAATCTCTTTAATGGCTGCTTCTCTACTGATGTCCTGCCTCTTTTGTTTACCTAACAGTTGCGATTGGATGAGACTCAGGAGGACGAGTATCGAGCGCTGCGCATGCAGCTGCAGCAGGAATTGGAGCTGCTGAACGCCTATCAGAGCAAAATAAAGATGCACACAGACACGCAACACGAGAGAGAGGTCAAAGACCTGGAGCAGAGAGTGTCTATACGGAGAGCTCTCCTTGAGCAGAGGGTAACAGAGAGAAATGGGTTGAATATTCCTGAATGAATTGGTTATGGTGGCAAAAAACCTGTTCAAAAACCTAATGATCTGCTTTAAAGGGATAGTACACCCAAAAATGATAATTCTGTCATCATTTATGTACGATGTTGTTCCAAACCTCTACGAATTTATTTTTTCTGCTGAACACAGAAGATAATATTTTGAAGAATATTGGTAACCAAACCATTTCTGGTCCCCGATGACTTCCATAACATTTTATTTTTCATATTATGGAAGTCAGTGGGGACCCGCGTTCTTCAAGATATCTTCTTAAATGTTCATCAGAAGAAACTCACTCTTGCAGGTTTGGAAGAACTTGAAGACGAGTACATGATGACAGAATTTTCGTTTTGGGATGAACTGTCCTTATATTATTTACACTAGCTTTCAAAATTGGGGATTTTTTGTATTTTTTATTTTTATTAAGGATGCATTGAATTGATCAAAATAGCAGTATTACATTTTATAATGTTACAAAAGAATCCTGCAAATATTTCATGGTTTACGCAATATTAAGCAGTACAACCGTTTTCAGCATTGATAATAATATAAATGAAACTTAACTCACAATTGATTTCAGTAAGATGACACTATAATACTGTAATAAGCATCATATGCATAGCCCACTTTTCTCACTCTTTTTCTTGCGGTCACCTTTTTGCCTCTCTTCAGATCGAGGAGGAGATGTTGTCTCTGCAGAATGAGCGTTCTGAGCGAATCCGGGCTCTGCTCGAACACCAAGCTCGAGAAATTGAGTCCTTTGACTCGGAAAGCATGCGCCTGGGCTTTAGTAACATGGCTTTGAGCGGCATCCCTGCTGAGGCTTACAATCAGGGTTACCCCAACCCTCCCTCATCCGGACCCGGGGGCTGGCCGTCCCGTCCCGTGCCCCGCTCAGGCAGCCAGTGGAGCCATGGCATCCAAAACTCAGCGGCGCCGCCCTCTTGGCGCAGTCAAAACAGCACAGCCGGCTTCAGCCAAGGGGAGCATATCTCCAGCCGAGAGAGGGATTTAGACGGCATGGGTGCCCGTGGCTTTCCAAGCTCTCGCTCCTCCGCCTCGTCAGCATCGTCTTCGTCCTCGCACCATCACCTCCACTACGTGCCGCAGCAGTACCACCACCAGAGCACGCCACACCTGTACCGCGACAGCCGAGAGAGAGAGTGGGGAGGAGGCAGGGGAGGAGGAGGCCACCACCACTCATCTTCATCCTCCTCTCATGGCCACTCGCATCACATTTCTTCCCATGCCTCTTCCCAGTCCATTGCTCTCCTCCCTCCACCACCTCCTCCTCCGCCCATCTCCTTTTCCTCATCTTCTCCTCCATCCTCCTCCTCCTCTTCTTCCTCTCAGAGTGGCTATGGAGGAAGGGGCGAGAGCTTGGCTGTGAGGGGCCCCAGCCTGATGGCTTTGAGAAACAGTCCAGGGCCACTTCGGAGAACAGCCTCGGGCGGAGGTGCTGGCGGGTCGGGCGCAGATGGAGCTTTGAGCCGAAGTACGTCGGTGACATCGCACATCTCCAATGGATCCCATCTCTCCTACTCGTAGAGGGTCAGGCAGGAAGTTCAGATGGTGCAGGTGAATGTTTTGAGGAGAAAAGGCCTTCACGTAGCTCATTTAGGAGTCCAACTGGGAGGCAGAGTGGAGAAACAGTATTTAGAAGGGCGCACCTTTACTTAAAAGAAGATAGATCTCAGGGTTTTGGGATGCGGGAGGGCTCAGGGTTTAGACCAGGAACAGGAGAGACGAGAGATGTACTGTAACAGGAGCAGAAAGCTATGCTGTTGAGTGTGTGGGAGGGAAGAGATGAAAATAACATAAGTGGTGCCAATACTGTAGATTGGGCTCATCCTCAGCCGGTTCATTTTAGTTTAGTTTTATTTTTAAACCGTCAGACAGAACCATTGAATTCTGCTTTCATGTCCAGGTTTTTTCTTGCACATCTAGGTTTAAGTTTTAAGATTTGAACTTTAAAAGACTTTTCCAAGATATTATCTAATGCTTAATCCTGGATCATATTAAGCTGAATTCGTTTAGTGCAATTCAATTAAAGACTGGGGTTTATTTTTAAAGGAATAGTTTGCCAAAAATGAAAAATCTGTCATTTATCTCACTCTCACGTTGTTACAAGCCCTACATATTGTTTTTTTTTTTTTCATAGAACACGAGGATTTTAAAGCAGCACTTTTTTATGCAACAAGTTCTGTTACGATCTAAAATGGACCCAAAAACACCATAGAAGAACCATAGAAGTAGTTCATTTGAATTTTGTGCTATATTCAGAGTTTTCTGAAGTTGTCCACCTGCTTTGTTTGAGCAGACTGAAATTGAAAATTCATTAGAAATAGTACACTAATGCATTCATCTTTTTGCAGAACCAAACATGCGCTTTGTCTTTGTTTTGGAGCTGTGAACCTACGGTATATGGAAAAGAGCTGCATTAAAGAGATTTTTCATAATTTATTCACATTCTATATTCTCTCTGTGGAACATAGAAGAAATTTTGAGAAATTTGTTCATACATGGGAGGTCAGTGGTAACCAGTATTCTTTGAAAAATCTTCTATTGTGTTCCACTGAAGAATTTAGTCTGCAGGTTTGAAATGACAACATTTTCATTTTTAGGTGAACTTGCTCTTTGAGCTTTCTCTCTTGTGTTTCACAGATGAAATAACAGCATATAGGTTTGAAATGACACGAGGGTGGGTGAACGATGGCAGAATTATTCATTGACTCTGTCTGATGAGTGTAACTTGATTTTGAGCCAGAGGATGACGAGTCCTGCTAATGTCAGTTTTACTGCTAACGGGAGCAGAGCGAACGAGTCGGATGCAATAGAAGGTGCTGTAGCATGTTTCAGGGAGAAGAGGTGTAAACTGAGGAACTAAAAGGGTGATTAAACTGATTTTTGTGTAATTATGTAGATAGCACTAAAACGATACTAAAAGAACGTCCATCAGTGATGGTTTTTAAACTGTACATTTGTATTTGAGTCAAGGACAGGAGGCAGTTTTTTTTATTTTGAAATGATTTTTGTATTCTGTATTTTATTTTTTTTTTTTACGATGCCACATGTCATACTGCCATCTAGAGGCTCAGCTGACCTAAAGCAACTCCGCCCACTGTCCTTATAAGGGCAAGCTGCCATTTAAGTTGCAGTTGGTTTTAACTGGGCTGTAATTCAGTCTCTGTTTTTAGCGTAGGCGTGATAAAATTACTTTTTAAAAGAGATTGAACCTGGCTGGGTTAATAAGCCATTTCCTTGACTGTGTAAATATGATGTACATATCAAAAAAAAAAAAAAGAGTTGGGTTACAAGTTTCTGTGCATGAGACTGATGTACAGAGACCATTTGTATACAAACATACACAACAGACGTTTATATATGACTTTGAGTATATATGTGTATAATACATCACCTGTCAAAGGTTTGACAGCGAAAGTCGTAAGATTGTTTCCTGTTCAACACTTTTGATCTCTATTGTACTTTACAACGTGTATATACAAGCACTGACTCTTATATAGGGTATTAATAATTCTGCTAGTTGAATTGGAAAGTGAGACGGAAAAAAAATACTGTCATTATTATTATTACACCTACTACTGCCGCTGTAATATTTGTGTTGTACACTAATTTTTCTTTTTACAACTTTTTTTAAGACTTTTTTTTTTTAATCAATGCTTACCACTAGGTGGGAAATGTTGGCACAGTAAGAATTTTAAGACTACATTTTAGATTAAAAACAAAAAGGACTACCTATCCCAGCATTCCTTGTTACATCTCAGGGTAGGAGTCTATTGTGCAGTGCTTTGTCAGGAGAGTAGTATTTTAGAGCCAGTATTAAACTTGTACAGAACCTTTTAAGAGATTTTAGCTGTATAGAACATTTCTAGACGACTGTAAAGTGTCTCAAACACCCCCCCCCCCGATCCAGTCAGTTTTTTCCCTCCATTTTCTTTTCTGGAATGCATTACTTTTTTTTGCGCATTTTAAATTTTATGCACAAAACGGACAAAAGGCATCACAAGCTGTTTACATTGACAACCAAAATCTCCAGCATACCCGTAAGAACGTGGTGAAAGACGAAGCTCGATTTTGCCAGTAATGTTATATTTTTCCTTCGGGAAAACCGAAATCTTTTGTGCTCCCACACTGCCAGCTCTCTATAGACACCAGCGTTCACTCGGACTCTCCCTTCGCTCTCCTGAACCGAGGAGACGTGCAGTACCTCACTCCCCCTGTGCCTGGCCGATCACCTCTTACTCCGTTTTCAGTGTTCATTCCCAAACACGTTTTCCTCCCAGCACCGCATTCCCTTATTTCTTTCCTTACTAACGGCTATGGACAGAAGAGGAAGAAAAAAAAAATCCTCGGCCCATCTGTAGCTCTGGGCTACCATGTAATGTGTTTACAGCAACACATGCTGGATTCTTATTAGCGTGTCCTCTTGAGGGGGTGTTTCAGTATCTGGTGGTAGGAAACTTAAGGTAAATGTATAAAATTGCTGTCATCATCCTGCAGTGTTTGAAGAACTGGAGCTGCAGGTGTCTGGAAGAGTGTGTGTAGCCTGTGCCGAAATGTATTGCAAAATTGTGATGCTTGAAAGGGCGATGGAGAGCTTGGTTGTTCAGGGAGCTCAGAAAAATAGGCCAAATTTCATTCAGGTGAAATGACTACAGGAGAACTCTGTAACACATGGGCTATAGAACTTGTACAGAAAATGATTAACAAGTCATTAAAAAGGATTCAAACAAAATGTCCTTGTGTGATCTGTCTGGACTAATGCACATTTAGCTTTTAGCTCTAGCCTGTTTTCTGAATGGTGAGAGTGCGCACTGAAGGTAGAGAAAAGACCGTTTCCATAGAGACCGAGGCAATACTAAATGGGAATTACTGGTTGCTTACTAAAGAAGCACATGTTGGTTCTGGTGTAGGGCTATTAGTCACAAAATGATTCCATTTAGTTATAGGATATTTTGTAGTTACATTCTGTACATTTGTTTTACTCTGCAGTGTTATGTGTAAAGGGCATTGCAATAACATTTCCATCTGAAGATAGCTAAACAACAGATACAAACAGTAAGATAATTCTCAGGTTGGAACATCAACATGTGGCTTAAAAGACTAAGATGTTCTTTTTAGGTTTTTTTTCCCCCGAGATATAGGCTATAATTTTATAAACATAAATAATGTTCCCACAACTTTGCATGGAGGTTTTTGTGATTAACCTGACTTAAAGGGGTCATATGATGCTGCTAAAAAGAACATTATTTTGTGTATTTGGTGTAATGAAATGTGTTTATGCGGTTTAAAGTAAAAAAAACACATTATTTTCCACATACTGTACATTATTGTTTCTCCTCTATGCCCCGCCTTCTGAAACGCGTCGATTTTTACAAAGCTCATCGGTCTGAAAAAAGCGAGGTGTGCTGATTGACCAGCTATCCAGTGC